CTGAGCTCGTGCCGCGAGGGTGAGGGGCGTTTCGGGAGGCAGGTACATGCTCTCGCTCTGAAAATGTGTTTGGACGCTTGTTTATACGTTGCGAACACGCTTATCATGATGTATAACAAGTGTCATGGTGGGAATGAGGCTTGGAGCATGTTTAATAGCATGGAATACCGCAACACTGTAACGTGGAATTCAGTGATTGCAGCGTTTCAGTTTCATGGACTTGGAGCTCGAGGTATTGACCTTTTCATCCAAATGCATCATATGGGGATTAGTTTTGATCGTGCCACGCTTCTCAGCGTCTTTACTTCCTTCTGCGAAAGCGCAGACAAAGAGATGAAGGCGTGTTTTAGGTTTTGTCTTCAATTGCACTGCCTCACGGTCAAAACTGGGTTTTTATCCGAAGTCAAGGTGGCTACTGCTTTAATGAAGGCTTATTCAGATCTTGGAGGGAATGCTGTTGACTGCTATAGGGTCTTCTTGGAGACAAGTTGCCATCGGGATATCGTTTCATGGACCAGCATTATGACGATATTCGCAGAGCGGGACCCAGAAAGAGCACTACTCCTCTTTTCCCAGTTGTGTCAAGAGGGTCTAGCACCAGACTGGTACACCTTCTCTATTGTTTTAAAAGCTTGTGCAGGCCTTGTAACGGAGAGACATGCTGCTGCAGTCCATTCGCGAGTAATTAAGTCGGGATTTGAGGGTGACACTGTTCTCACGAATTCCTTGATCCATGCCTATGCTAGGTGTGCTTCCATTTCTATGTCTAAGAAAGTTTTTGATGAGATTGAAGAACGTGATGTGGTTTCGTGGAATTCCATGCTCAAGGCTTACGCCCTGCATGGAAGAGCAAGAGAGGCATTACATCTCTTTTCTGAAATGAATCTCGAGCCGGACTCCGCCACTTTAGTTGCTCTTCTCTGTGCTTGCAGCCATGCTGGACTGGTAGAAGATGGAATTAAAATATTCGACTGCATGCGTGAAAATTATGGTATCGTCCCTCAAATTGATCACTACGCCTGCATGGTTGACATGTATGGGCGAGCCGGGAAAATTCACGAGGCTGAGAAACTTATAGGTCAGATGCCAATGGAGCCAGATTCCGTGGTGTGGAGTGCGCTTCTAGGATCATGTAAAAAGCATGGGGAGACTGGCTTAGCTAAGTTAGCATCAGATAAGCTAAAGGAGTTGGAGCCTAGAAGTTCCTTGGGCTATGTACAAATGTCAAACATATATTACTCTAGTGGAAAGTTTAATGAGGCAGGTACAATTTGGGATGAAATGAAAGAGGGTCGAGTTAGGAAGGA